CTTACATGGTTGCCAGAAACACAATGCTTGCAAAAGCTGTCTTTAAGTATATCTCTATGTAACCGCCTTATAATTGGCACATTGTTATTCAACAAAGCATGTATTTTTACATCATTGATTTGAAGGTTGCAATATTTCATGTAGAATGATTGATATATTTTATGTAAATTGATTGATAAGTTAAACAGACGCAATTGGGCTGATGTTCCTTGATTTTGGATAACAAAATAGATTCGTTAACTAACAAGTACAAAGGTATTTTTTTTTCCATTCAAATTCCTATTCTTATTGTTAGATGTCTTCAGCATGAATCCTATTCATTAAGAAAATTCCAAGATATGCATTTGGGAATTGTAGTGCTTTTTGGATAAAATATTTTTGGTAAAGTTTAACCTTTGTACCCACAATAAAACAGTGTTGTCAAAAGGAAGTTTGTTTTTTTTTTTCCCCTTAACACCACTGTTATTTTGTACTACCTTCACCCCCCCAGTAATGTTTATCATTCTAAAAAGTAATGATTAGAATTGTAACAAAAACAAAACACATGGAAGTGTATTTTCTTTGTCCTTCAAGAATTTACGACAAAAATATTAAACACTGTTTATTAGATTGCTTATTTACAAGATTGATTCCATATTTACAACATTCTAAAAATACGAACTAATAAAATGCAAATGTTTATAATTTACCAATTTATAAAGAAATGAATTTGAAAATTTTTTCATTCACCAATTTATACAAATTTACTAAAGTATAAAAATATGTGAACCATTTATAATGAAAATCTTTATTATTTACCATTTTATAAAGTTCAAATCAATTGGCAATTCTCCGCTGTTTTGCAAATCATTCCAAAGAAAAGAATTTGTTGAAAGTTTTGTAGGTTTTTATAAATTTTTGAATGAAAAGATTTATTTTCAAATTTATTACTTTACAAATTGATAAATTATAAATATCGCATTGTACCTGGTCCAGGTATTTTTATAATCTTGTAAATAAGCATTGCAGACGGAATCTCAGTAGTTTAAAGGAATAGCCATGTCAACAAAAAAAACAAAAAAAAACGTTTTTTTTTTCTGGGTACAAAAGTCAAACATTACCATTTTATTTCTTGAAAAATTACTATTTTTATTTCATAATTTTTGTTTTTTTTAATTTATTTTTATATGATTTTTTCGAATATTCACTTTCAGTAAACATTAATTTTCAAATTCAAGTTTTCATTAATCCTGTTGTCTTCAGGGTTTTAAATTCATTGTAGTCTCTCTCTCTCTCTCTCTTTCTTAGACTACCCACCCCAAGGTGAGAGCATAATCTACTCTTTTCTGGTATTTAACCAATAGGGGTGGGGAATGGATTCATGTCTCTCTTCAGGGCATTTATACAAAAGTGAAAGCAACAGACTAAATGTGAATTTGAACTTGGCTCATCCATTCCAATTTCAGTGCTAATAGTTTTGCTGCCGACGGATATCATAAGATTTTAGAAATTTTGTATCTACTTTAAGATGAGAAACCAGGACAATCATTGCTGTTCATCGTTTCTATGATGTCTTTGACTGTTTTGGTGAAAAGTTTCAAAATGGGGTTCTGTGTAACTTTTGGTTCAACTTTTAATGTTAATCTCAAAAAGCTGCTGTTTTTGCCTCTCACCTCCCAAAGGGATTCAAGATGAAAAAAATGCATAGTTTCAGGTACTTGTATCATTTTCTTTTTTTGTTTTTCTTTTATGAAATGAATTAAGCTTGAAATATTATTAGCTATCTGCGGGATGTTGACACATTTGATAGAGGAGGGGTGAAGATGCTAAATTCCATTTGAGTTAAGGTCACATTTTCGATGCATAATTTTTTTTTGCTTTATTTAGAATGTGTATGAAAAAATATCCAGCCTCAAAATTTTTAATGTCATCATAATTTCCTTAGCTATGCTGCATGCACTTAGATTACAAATGGAGAATGTAATTTACTCTTTTGCTTGTTTGCATTTATGACTTATACTTATTGGCTTAGGATCAAAGTGTAATATCTGTTTCCAATCCCTAAACACTTTCTGACTGAGAACCTATGCTATTATTTTGCTTACTTGTATATACAATCGTTATGCTTTTCTTTCTTAGATCAGTGTAGTATCTGCTCAATGCCTGGCCTTTTTAACATCAGTCAGCTAAGTGAAAAATTTTATATTGTTTGTATTGATCCTATATATATATATATATATATATATATATATATATATATATATATATAAAGTCAATTACTGAAACCTCCTGAAGAGTGGACTGAAAGTATGAAACTCTGGAGTTGAGGTACTGACTATAACATCAATCAGTTAAGTAACAAATTTTATTTGTATTAATCTGAATCTGTTCGGAATGTAATGAAAAATACATTAGTTTCAAAACATCCATGTCCAGATCACAAAAGCAAAGTTTGAAGGGAATAATAGTCATTTCGTTTGCTTTCTAAACACAAGCAATTAGGAAATAATACTTACTGAATAAAGACTAAAAAATGTCAAAAATTTTTTTATACAATGTAATTAACATCAGAAAGACATAGTTGAAATTTCTAGAACATATAATGAAGAAAATGGGCTTGGAAAATTTGACACTCACAAAAAAAATTGAAGGCAAGAGGGACATAGGAGAGTAGTGCATAATCTACCTAACATGGTTGTGTAAATGGTTGGTACAAAAAGGATTATGAGAGACAGTGAAAAGACAAAATTTATTGACTGCTACAAAAGACAGTAAATTGTGGGGAGCCATTATCATCCACATCCTTAAAGGACATGGGACATCAAAGCATCTAGCAGTATGTGGGAGCTACACTGCAGTTCAAAAGTTTGAAGCCACCCCCAGAATCAGCATGGGATGAAATTGACAGAAGAGTTAAAAAAAAAAAAAAATGGTAAAAAAATGAGATCTTAGAGTCATTGAAAAAAGAATGGAATCAGAGATTTTTGGTGAGACAGAAAAGTATTAGGAACAGGAATGAAGTCAAACAGTTATGTCCTGACCCCAAAAAGAAGAGGTATTGAGCAAAATTTAATGGGAAAATTAGCTTGAGCTTGTAATGGAATGTTCCACGCTCCCTATCACCTGTTATGGACTGACTATATCAGTAGACATATATAGTGTGCACAGGATATACCTGGTGTCTTGCTTCCGCAATTACTAGCCTGCCACCCGATTCCCTGTCTTTCAGTAGTGTATTCTCTTTTACAATAAATGTCTCTTTCTTTCATTTACGCCTGTGTTGCTGTTCCTTTCACTCAAGTACCACCTTTGTCTGTCTGTAACATCTTTATTTTTTAATTTTAGGCAATTCTTTTCAGCTTTGAAATATTCTACCTGTAGAAAAAAAATCAGTATTTCAATTACATTTAAATGGGCTTTATTGCTTCTATTTTTACTTGCTTCAATGAGTACGGATTATTTATTATATTTCTTAATCTTTTCATCCCAGACGAGGCAAAAAAGTCACTAATATGCAGAGGGTTACTTAGAGTGAAAGAATATTAGGAGAAAGAACAATGAAAGAAGAGGAATCAAGAATACTGTAGATAACGATTGATATGGCATTTAAATTCTTGAAGATCAAACTTGCCTGGGAAGCATGAAAGAGTGTTCTACAAGCGAGAAGTGTTAGAAAAGAAACTGCTAGCATAGAACTTAGGGTTACATCTAGCCATTTCCACTGTAAAATGGTGAGATCTATCCACCAATCTAGTACTGTGCTTAAATTAAAAAAAGTCTAGGTACCATAGAGGAAAGTTCCTCAGAACAATTATCATGAAAGTATTTATAGAAAAGGCAGAGGGAAGCTATGTTACAGCAGGTGGGAATAAAAAGTCTGCTTACAGTGAAGTCACACAGAAAACATCAGTTTTTATTTGATCACCAAAGTTAAGCAATGTTCAGCTTGGTCTGTACTTTGATGGTGGGACCACTTGGTTATATTGGGTACTTTAAGCAACCTCCTACAATCTGAAATATATTTTGGCTTTAAATAATCCACAAGGGGTTGATAAGCCATAAAAACCGAATTGAAAAAATCAAGAATTTAAGTCTGCAGCAAGGTCAACCTAACCTTTGGTTTTACTTTAATAAAAACTAATCTAGAAACCAAATTCTTTGAGCTTTAGTTTAAGTACATTATACGCAAGATGTTCATGTTGGCCTTAAAGTCTGAGCAAGATTACATCTGGAAATAGAGTGTGTGGCAGAAATACCTCCAACATAATGGTAAGACATTATTGGCAATGGTGTCTTCATCTAGCATTATGTGGGAGCTACGCTGCAGTTTGAAGCCACCCCCAGAATTAGGGATGAACTTGACAGAAGACTTAAAAAGAAAAAAAAGAGCTCTTAGAGTCATTGAAAAAAGAATGGAATCAATTATCAAACTTATACTTTGTGAAACTTTTGCAATGAATGCCAAAAAAGTTTTGGTGAAGTAATCAAGGCTGAAGGAGGATATTTCGACAAGAGCAAAATTTAATCATAAAACACTTTTTTTCTTTTTGTCATAATAAAATTTCAAATAAAAAAAATCTCACTTTTTTTTTTAACCATGTAATAATAATTTTCTCTTATTTAAAGTACAAAACAACTACTTTGGGTGCCAATTAAAAAAAAAATTACCAGGGATCTCCTCAAACTTTTGAACTGTAGTGTATATATCAGTGATATTTCTGCCACACCCTGTATAACAGCAGATTTTCATTACATTTTTACCCACATAAAGCCTGTTTGAAGAGACACCTAACCCTGTCACCTTATGTCTCACATGCTAATTTAGCTAAAGTGACTCTGCCTAATCATTTTCTTTCCTAGAAGCAGGAAGTTATCAACATAAAACCTGTTTGAAATTCATCATCTCTGAGTAGTAGGACAATTTTATAGTTGATATTGATAGAGAAGATACCTGACCATCTCCACTTAAGTCGCACACATTAATCATGCTGAAATGACTTTTTCTTTCTTTTCTTTCAAAGGATCCAGAAATCCTGTGCTGGGATCTGCGGAGCCCAGGCACCATTCTGTTTACTCTACTTCGGCAGTCAGAAACTAATCAAAGAATTTATTTTGATTTAGACAGGTAAGTGAAGATTGATGCTTTAACCCCTTCTCTGCCAATTATTTTAGGAAAGATGTTTCATTTTCAGATGATTTTTTTTTTTTTATTTGTTTCTAATATAGTAACTAAGAAATAAAGTACCTGAGCTGTGACTAACACCTCTACCAGATATATGAGATGACAATTGGACTTGGTTTAAGCTCAGAAGGTCATAAAAGGAATTAGTCAACATATAAACACATCTGTAGCTGGTTTAAAAACATTGGATGTGTTTATTCATCTATGTCTAAAAAAGACACTTTTGGTAAAAACGTATATACACGTCTACACCAGGAAATGGGTTAACTTAATTGATAGAGGTGTCTGGATTTTCGGCCACATTCTTGTGCACGACAGCAATGTTTTCAGCTGAATGGCATAAACGAGCATGCAATAGTGTTTTCACATCTGTCACCGACACTGTTTGTTTGAATTTACAGACAATTTTTCCAATTGCACTTTTGAAACTTTAACACATTTGATTGTTAATCTTTCCATGGTTGAAATTGCCAAAAACTTATGTTGTTAAATCTGAAAGAAAAAGAAAAAAAACCTTGGATGCTTAAACTTCATTCACATTTAAAATCAGTCCAAGTTATTCGAACACCCTTTATAATTTAAAAAAAAAAGAAGCCTTGATATAATATTTTCACTGATGACAGAGTGATTAACACATGCTGCTGTGTGTGATTTGTTTTTAATTTGTTCATTTGACGATGAAAAAAAAAATTTTTTTTAAAGAAGTATATTCTCTAGAGAAAAATAATTATCATTAACGTTTTCAGTTTCTGAAGCAAAAGGTGTTTACACTTATGATCTTCCTTAGTGAAAACCACCAATGGTCTAAAATGCTGACAATGTTACCTTCAAGGAAATGCTGCAAAATTCAAGACACGTTGTATTTAATCATTGTTTATGCATCAGTGAACAAGTGAGAACGAAAAGGAACAAACAACATTTTAATAAGGTTATTTCCCTCCTGCAATTAGGTGCACCATTCAGGATGCTAATTAGGCCGCAGTTTGCCCATGACTGCTTTAGAACAACCCGGAAACCCAATCCTAAACTGGAAACAAGGAATAAACCTCTACTCTTAAGATCAAAGAGGAGTGTGAACCAAACAATAGGTGAACCTATCTATTATTATTTAGTGAACAGCTTGTCCTTTTGTAAACTCAGATTAAACAGATTTCTGTAGCAGAATAAAAGAGTGCAGGTCACACAGCCTGATGTTTCCCACCTCATGCCGTCAGTTGAAGCTAATAACCACAGATTAATTCCCCAACATAAAAACTGCTATTAAGGTAATCTACCATTTGACAAATTTGCAATACCCACAGGATATAAGGAAGTACTTAACTCATTCAATTTAGGCAAAGGAATTAGTCAATTGACAAGGAGTACGTACAGCTCAGAGGCTGAAATCATTATGTGGGAGGTGTATGTGAGATCAATTAAGTTAACCCCTTTCTTGGTGTAGATGTGTATATATGTTTTTACCGAAAATGTCTTTATATATTTATTCTCTAGAAAAAAATAATTATCATTAACGTTTCCAGTTTCTGAAGCAAAAGGTGTTTACACTTATGATCTTCCTTAGTGAAAACCACCAATGGTCTAAAATGCTGACAATGTTACCTTCAAGGAAATGCTGCAAAATTCAAGACATGTACTTAATCATTGTTTATGTATGTAGCTATGCATCAGTGAACAAGTGAGAACGAAAGGAAACAAGCAACATTTTAATAACGTCATTTTCCTCCTGAGATTAGGTGCACCATTCAGAATACTCATGGGGCCACAGTTTGCTCATGATTGCTTTAGAACAACCTGGAAATGGCTAGATGTAACCATCAGTTCTATGTTAGCAGTTTCTTCTCTCACACTTCTCGCATGTGGGACTTTTTTCCAGGTTTTCGCTTCCCAGTCAAATTTGATCTTCAAAAATTTAAATTCAATGTCATTCGTTATCTTCAGTCTTCTTAATTCTTGTTCCTTTATTGTTCTCTCTCCTTGGTAATGTTTTTTTCTCATATTCTCTAACACTCAGTAACCCCTTGCGTCTTAGTGGTTTTATTGCCTTCCTTCGGGTGAAACGATTAAAAATATATTGGTGGCTAAATTTTTTTACTCCTGTTTTTGCTTACAAAGGACCGATGGGTACCAAGTAGTTTTCAGTTTGGATTAGTCAATAACTTTGCAGTCTTAATCTGATTTTGGACTACACCTTTTTTCTTTTTTCTTTTTTCGAATTTGATTGAAGATTTGTTTGAACTAATATCCTCATTGTCACTGCTTTCAGTGTTTCAGCTAGTTGATTTTCCAACCTTCATCAGGTGTGTGTATGTATGTGGAATTTAATAACATGAAAATCTTCTATTTTTTTTTAATAATTGTTCACTCGCTACAAGCCTCAAGATCCACTCAATGTAGAGGATTACTGAATGACTTTGTTGTTTGAGTGGTAAGAGTAACAGGTAAGAAGTGCAGTTTGTAGAGATATGTGGGGAAGATAATGGTTAACCCTAGACTTGAAGAGGTTAAGATTGTAGTGACCCTGAAAGCATCCACATGGGAGTCGGTTCCACATAGTAAGAGGTAAGAAACATAGTTTATGAGGATATATGGGAAGATAACAGTTAACCCTAGACTTGAAGAGGTTATGATTGTAGTGGCTCTGAAAGCATCCTCTTGGGAGACGGTTCCACAAAGTAAGAGGTAAGAAACATAGTTTATGTGGATATATGGGGAAGATAACAGTTAACCCTAGACTTGAAGAGGTTCAGATTGCAGTGTTCCTGAAAGCATCCTCTTGGGAGTCGGTTCCACATAGTAAGAGGTAAGAAGTACACTTTATGAGGATAAACAATGGTACAGAATATGAAATATTAAATACAAACATAAAAAACAAATGCATGTCGGTAAAAGATGAAAGTGTGGAGATATACAAAAACAAGGCAACAAAGATTTGATACCATTTTTGTTTTCTATGTCAGAAGTGAGTCAGCATTTTTATGCTTGTTGTTGTCTCCTCCTTGGAGGAGGTTTTTACCCGATTCAAAAGAAAATTGATGGATCTTTGCAAAAGACATGGTATTTCTTGGCATACAAAGTGTTAAAGAGTCGAAACTGAAGGCTGAAATATAGTTTTGACAAAGAAAAATAATGTAAATCCGTTTCTTTGGATACTCTATTTATATTCAGACTATTGTCCTCATCTTTGTTGTTATTACATTTCATAGTTACTATAGTCCAAATGTAAATACTGTAAATAATGATAACTCCTCACCCCAGAAATTCAGAGAGAAGGTGATCAGGTGATAATAATAACAAATATGAGAATATTAGTCCAAATGTAAATAATGATAACTCCTCATTCCAGAAATTCAGACAGAAGGCTATCAGGTGATAATAACAAAGATGAAGATATTAGTCCAAATGTAAATACTGTAAATAATGATAACTCCTCACCTTAGAAATTCAGGCAGAAGGCGATCAGGTGATAATGATAACAAAGATGAGGATATTAGTCCAAATGTAAATACTGTAAATAATGATAACTCCTCACCTTAGAAATTCAGGCAGAAGGTGATCAGGTGATAATAATAACAAAGATGAGGATATTAGTCCAAATGTAAATACTGTAAATAATGATAACTCCTCACCTTAGAAATTCAGGCAGAAGGTGACCAGGTGATAATAATAACAAAGATGAGGATATTAGTCCAAATGTAAATACTGTAAATAATGATAACTCCTCACCTTAGAAATTCAGGCAGAAGGTGATCAGGTGATAATAATAACAAAGATGAGGATATTAGTCCACATGTAAATACTGTAAATAATGATAACTCCTCACCTTAGAAATTCAGGCAGAAGGTGATCAGGTGATAATAATAACAAAGATGAGGATATTAGTCCAAATGTAAATACTGTAAATAATGATAACTCCTCACCTTAGAAATTCAGGCAGAAGGTGACCAGGTGATAATAATAACAAAGATGAGGATATTAGTTCAAATGTAAATACTGTAAATAATGATAACTCTTCACTCCAGAATATTTTATAACCCCCATCCCCCCCACCTCTTCAATCGATTTGAGGTATTATCCTCCTCTGCTGATAAAGCTGAACGCTTTGCCCATAAATACTCCTCAAACTCTACTCTTGACTCATCTGGAGTATCTCTGCCTAACTTCCCTCTTAGAATTGATTCTCTGTTGAGTGATATGCATATAACACCTTCTATGGTTTCTGCAATAATCTCTGGATCTGCACAAAGCATGTGGACTCATTGGTATCCCTGTAATAGATGTTAAGAAGTGTGCTCCCAAACTATCTTCTGTTCTCTCTAAACTGTATATTAAACGCCTCACTGCCTCCTGCTTTCCTACCTGCTGGAAGCCATCGTCTGTTGTTCCAGTTTACAAGAACTCTGGTGAACTGTCTGACCCATCCAACTATCAGCCTATTAACCATCTGCCACTTTTAGGGAAATTCCTAGAGGCCCTAATCAATGCTGAATTGGTTCATCATTTCTCATTGCAGGTCCTTTTCTCAGACAATCAATGTTGTCTTGGAGCTCCTTGATAAGTTTCAAAAAAAGAATCACCAATATTACTGGTCCTGATCTGGTAGCTTAGCTTCAGTCATTTGCCCACCACCGTAAGGTTGCCTCTCTGTGCCTTTTTTTTATTTTTTTATAAATACTTTCATGTTAATTGTTCAGATGAGCTCTTCGCTATGGTACCTAGACTGGAAGAATTTAAGCGCAATACTATACTGGTGGCGAGATCTCGTCAATTTAGAGTTGAGCTGTAACTTTTATTCTAACAGTTTCTTTTCTCGCTTGTCGAACTATTTTCTGGTCCCATTATTTTTAAGCAACATTAATCTGCAAAAATTTAAATGCCATGTCAATTGCTATTTACTCTCCTCCTGAGTTCTCTTTTTTTCCTCTTCGTACATTATTGCTTCAGTT